CCTTTAGACGTGTTATAGGCCCTGTTTCCAACTTTTTTAAAGAAGTGAAAACCTAGCCTCCAGATTACTACCGAAATTATTACATGAAATAAAACAAGGTAATTAAGAGTTTGACATTTTGATAGAGTTTATATTCATATTCCACTTATGCCCTTCTTTTGCTATGGGCTCAACGATCACAGCATAGTGACACATAGATTACCCACATCACTGCCATGAGTAGTTTTGATCACCAACCAAAAGTTGGTGAACATTGTAGTGCACATATTGTCCACAGCTGTATTATCACCATTCATTTGTGCAAAATTTTAAAGCAAACACCAAGCTCAGTACTAAGTCAATTGTAATAGTAGGCTAGCTGTTAGAATACATGTGTCAATTTTTGTTCCTTATTTTGTAATTTTGGTATTAATTTCAAGGTAGTAAGTGTTATTCAAAATTTATTATCGTTTTGTGTACATGCCAACTAAAATATAGATACAAAAAATAACAACATCCCACCTTTTAGGATCCAGGAACCGGAATCCAGATTAGAGCTCGTGTTTTCAGCTTACCCCTTCAGACAAACCAAGATCTTTTTTATAATCACAAGTAAAACTCAGAATAGAATTGAACTGTAAAAGGCTTACAGCCTCAGCAGAATTATTTTATGTCATGATAAAATTCTATAAATACTATGAAGAGTGGTTTTAGTTTTAAAATCTAATCATTGCACAGATTGCTTGTTAAGATTTCAGGGTAAATTAGCTTTGAATAAGAATGTATTCTTGATATGTTTCCTTATTGATTTTTATTCTATTTCAATATTCTATTAATTGGGCCAAAAATGACATGGACTCTTGAGCATGACACACTGCTCTGTAGAGAAATCCTTGTCGAAAAGCCTTACCAGTTTAAAATGCATACTTGGGAGCATGGTCACAGTTGGGATAAGGTGGTCACTAATTTAAATAAAATCGGCCAACCACATTTTATGGTAGACCGAAGGGGAGTCCGGGACCGCTTTTTGAAGTTGGAGAGGAACTTCGAAAGAAAGATGGCAGAGGAAGAGCCTGCTAGTGGTATCAGTCCACCAGAACCCACTGAACTGGAGCAAGCAGTTCAAGACATTATTGAAAGGTGCACTGAGGCACAAGCTGTTATGTTAAGGTTTGAAGGGAAAGTAGTTGAAAAGGAGAAGGAAACTGGAGAATCAATCTGAAAGCCATCGATGGAAAGGTTGGCCAAGACAAGAGAGAGGGAGAGTCAGGAAAGAGGAAAGAAAGAAAAAAGACTGATTGGGACAAGGATACTGAATTGATGCATTATTTGAGCGAAAGACGGAACTAAAAAGCAAAGAGTTTGAATTAAGAAGAAGAGATATTGAGATAAAAGAAAAAGAAAAGAAGAAAGAAGAAAGGTAATGGAGAGAGAGTGCGAAATTGAGCAACAAGAGCTAGAAATGAAGAAAAAATTAAGGCAAGGGTAAAGAAAGACACGGAAATGATGGCAATGTTTCAGCAGCAGCAAGGGCAAATGCAACATCAGAACCAGCTGCTGCTTGATGTTGTTAATAAATTGTTGGACAAATCTTAATATGTTAACAGTCATAACAGCAAATACAAAAATAATTTAACCAAGCTCCCCTTTTTGCTATCAACTTTTGAATAAGCCTACCCTAATAAAACTGTCGAATTTACAAAAACTGATTCCAACTTTTTCACAAACACATTAGAGCATATATAATAACTGTTTATTGCCACTGGTCTGTCATAGAGTGGTTAATGCCAGATGTACACTCTTTGATTTGTAGATTTTAAGTTGCAACTAAAGTGCATCATGGCCTATGCTTTATTTAAGGCCATTGTCCTTCCCTTAGAAAGAACATTCAATTTTTTTCTTTAATTCCAAAGCAAAAATTGTGATCCCGATGTGGTAAAGTTTTACAGACTTTCTTGTTAGCCTTTAAACAGTTCCAGCGTCTTTAAATTCATTAATACCACAGCACAGTTGCTCATTTGTTTACAGCTGTACTTTTTAACTATACTTTTATCTTTTAAATAAAGTCTGATTCTGCAGTTAATCATATTTTACTGTAAACTGTAGTTATGTTTTATTTGTCAATCAAATAAGAACCTGATAGTATTATAACTGTTTTATATCTAAAATGGTTTTAAATTATCTGTAGTACCCCTGCATTACCTTCTCGACAATTTATCCAAGGTTTCCCTGTTTTTTTTCTGTACTAATTTGAGTTTGCAATTATCAATTGAAGCAACACCCTTAATTGAACACTTAATTTTTTTTTTCTATCAAAAGCTGCTGCACATAGACATTTTATGGCAACTATTTATGAAAATGACACATATCCTTTCCAGTTGAGAAATGGCATAATGCCATTTCATCTCAAGTTTGGATATTTGCCATATTAATGATCCAGCTACTGATTATTAGATTATAAGCAATATTCACTGTAGCTATTATTTAAAATGCGAGAGGATTTCATCAAAAAGCTATGTACCGAATTGTACCGAATGTACCGAATTCCTGCATGTTGGCCTGACAGTGCAATTTTGTTTTTTTAGCAGAAGTACAACTTACATTCAGGAGTAGATTATATTCCTCTCTTAGCTTTATATTGAGCAGCTATCAACAAGAGAGCATATAAAAACAGAGGTGGCTATTAAACAGAATATAAAACAATAATAGAGAAAGTTTGACAATGCAATATGTGTAGCAATATTTAGTGTCGTTTTACAGGGATACCATAAGAACTTTATCAATGTGATAATTTTTAAAAAAGCTGTTTATGGTATGTGAGCATCTAGTGCCAAGTGGCTCCATCTTCCGGGTTCTCAAGTCTTTTGAATCAATTAGATCTACAAGAAATACTCATTTAGTGTTGGGGGCTCGACTTCAAAGAATTTTGTAGCTCTGTTGCCATTCAAGCATTGGAGAGTTTACGATTCAGCTTTCTTAAACTCTCTATTGCTGGGGAGATGGTGCCACTTGAAGAGTCTTACAGTTTCCTGTCGTGAAACTGGAAGACAGCTCGCCAATCTGGTCAACTTTTGTCGATAATATAGGCTGACTAATGTTATCAGCCATCTAACAACTCTAAAACCACTGTGTGGTTGGCACAAATCTCGTGCGCAATGCTAATTGCAGATACTAAAAACAAATTTCGGACAACAAATTTGATTTTGTACACTAAATACTAACCTTGGAAAAAAAATTTAAATATTGGACAACAACTTCCAATCTAGGACAACAAATTAAATCTCGGATACTAAATACAAATCTTGGAAAACAAATTTAATCTCGGACACTAAAAACCAATCTTGGACAAAAAATTTCATTCCTGAACACTAAATACAAATCTCGGACAACAAACTGAAATCTCAGACAAAAAGTTCAAATTTCGGACACCAAATACAAAAACTCAAACATCAAACATGAAGCTCAACCTGTAAAAATTGGATCTGAATATACAAATATTTTTTCAACAACCTTTTGTCCACTACGGCGTGCTTTACTGAGTCACTGTGTCTGCGGCTAATACTTTGATAAGAAATTTGATATTGAATCACATCAAAGGTAGCAAGTCAACTAGTAACTTTGAATAACTCTGACAACTAGTATGATGAATAATCTTTTTCATATGATAATTTCTAGGAGCTAATTTGGCAAAAACAAAAAAAGCCAATTGACAAAAATAATCGAAACGTAATATGGTTCTACTTAAAATATTCCACAGACATTTAGAAATCTCTCAAAGGTAATCCTTGGCTTCCATTGATGAATGACCCAAGAAATCTGTATCTCATTCTGCTCAATCCATTCTTGTCATTAGACTCAATCCGAGTTGTTGATGTTGGAATGGTGTGAGGTCGCTTATTGGACTCTGTCAAACTAGTTTAAATTATATTTTAACATCATAGAGATTACAATGTTAAATTTAAGCTATGAATAAAATAAACACGGGTAGAAAAAAAACTGCTGATTTGGAAAGCAAGGACTTCGAAGATTCCCAGGAAACTTCTGAAGCTGAGTCTGTAAATAGGCCTAGCATGCCTAGGTCGGATGCAGGTGAGTCTATTGATCTGATGCAACAGGAGCAGCCCGCTTGGGTGAATCAACTCCACAAGGATCTAAAAAATGTCATTGAAACCAAGATTGATAAAAGGTTTAATGAGCTACAAAATAATTTATGCAAAAGACTAGAAGTTGCCGAAAAAAATATTGGGAAACTGCAGTCAAATAATGATCTCACTTGTGATAAAGTCAGACATTGTAGAAACAATTTCACAAGCAAATTCTAATAAAATCAACAAGTTGGAAGAAGAGGTGCTAAAAAACAAGGTCTAATCAAAGGCCTTCAAGAGGAAATCGAAGATCTTAGAAATAGAACCATGAGAAGGACCCTTGTCTTCCATGGCTTCCCAGAACCAAAATCAAAAAGTGAAAGCTGGGAGCAGTCAAATGAATTGATTTCTAAGCATCTCACCCTTTCGTAGTCATAGGGAAATTGAGAATGAAAAGTGACTATCATTAATGATATGATAACTTTTGATTAATGCATCGCATGGTGATATACTTTACGTCAAATGAAAGCAGATAAATTTCTGCATCAGAAAATACAATTTAATCAATGACGGGTTCTCTTATGAATTTGATTGACTTATATTTTGTTTGAAATCTTTGCTAAAATTTGAATATTTTCATATTTTCTCATCTCGCTGCAACCAGAGTAGTAAGGGCAGGGTGTCCGAAAAGGCCTCGTTTTGAAGCCATTCTATCAACAACCTCGTAGCCAAATTTCTGACGGTTTAGTTTCAAAATGGCGTCCGATAGCGAAGACGAAGTGATTGACTTTGTTGTTGACGAATCTACAGATTTTGAGGAAACTGCGACGCAATATAGTAATTTGAAGGTAGAAGAGTTGAAAGAGTTGTGTAAAAGCCGTGGATTAACCTGCACAGGAAGAAAGCAAGACCTTGTAGAGCGTCTAGAAGATTTTGATGAGAGTGGACCCATTTGGGGATGAGATTGAACATCCGATTCATATCCCGACTTTTAGAAAAAAGTCTGGACCAACAGTTATACTCGAAGAAGGTGCCGCTGCTGTTAAATATTTTGAGTTACTATTCACGCCAGAACTTTTGGAACAGTTAGTTTCTGAAACAAACAGGTATGCAGCCCAAAGACTTGAGCACCCTTTCACCTCACCATCTTCGAAAGATAGATGGGAACCTGTCACAGTTGTGGAGTTGAAAGCATTTCTCAGGTGCCTTATATTTATGGGCCTATGTTCTCTTGGAGAGCTCAAAGATTTTTGGTCTGAAGAGCTGGGGCAAGAAAGAATAAAAACTGTTTTCAGTTACCATCGTTTTAGAGACATATTCAGGTTTCTACATTGTAATGATAACAGTGCTGTGTTGCCAAAAGGTCATGAAAGTCATGATAAATTGCAAAAAGTGAGGCCTATTATTAACTTGCTGCAGCAATCATTCCAAAGATGTTGGGTGCCCCATCAACAGAACAGTATTGATGAGGGCATGATTTCCTTCACTGGAAGGAGTCCTTTGAAACAGTATATGAAGGACAAGCCCAATAAATGGGGCTTCAAGATGTGGAAGCTTGTAGATTCCATTTCTGGATACCTATATGCTTTTGATATTTACACGGGTAAAGGGGAGGAAAGAGAGGTTGGTCTTGGAGAGCATGTGGTTTTACAAATGGCAGAACATTTGCAACTTGGCCAGCCATGGATGCTTTTTTTTGATAACTTCTTTTCCTCCATTCCACTTATCGACAAGTTGTATGAAAGGGGCATATATGCTACAGCAACAATTCGCTCATATAGAACTGGGGTCCCAGTTGAAATCAAAGAGGCAAAGCTTCAACCTGGTGAAATGATTTGGAGGATGAAAGACCCCCAGACAGTCATCACCAAATGGAAGGACACAAAAGATGTGATTCTGATCAGCAGTATGTGTAGGGCCACACCAGGTGACACAGATGTTGTCAAGAAGTCCCAAAGAGGCACTGCTGAAAAAATTGTGCGTCAATGTCAACCTTGCATTACAGCATACCGGTCAAATATGGGAGGTGTTGACACAAATGATCAACTGATAGCTTACAACAGTATGTCAAGAAAATCCTACAGGTTGTGGCTCCCAATTTTTTTTGATATGCTAAAAGAAGCTGTGGTAAATGCCTGGATTATTCAGAAAAATCAGCCAAATGCCATGAAAATTGGGCAAAAGGAGTTCCGCGTCGAACTTTTTCAAGGACTGATAGGATCATTCACATCCAGAAAGAGAGAGATTGGCCAGCAGCCTAACCCATCAAAAAGATTTGATGGTGTTCAGCACTTTGTTATTAGTTCTAGCAAAAGAGGCTGCTGCAAAAATGAATGTTGAAAGAAAGTACAATACCGGTGCTGCAAATGTGACATTTTTCTTTGTATAGACTGTTTTCGAACTTATCATATTTCTAAAAACAAGTAAAGTTATGTTTAAATACTGCAGTAAACTTTCAATTTGAATAACCTATACATGGAAAATAAACTTTTTATCATATATTTGAGTTATTTATGCCTTTTTTCTGGGTTTTTGCTTGGGCAGTATTGAAACGGGCAAATATGTCCTTATGACTACGAAAGGGTTTAAAAGGGATCATCATAGATAGAGCCCATAGCGTAAATCGAAAAGATTCTTCTGTCACTGCCCCAAGATCTATTTATGCTGAGTTTCAAACATGGCAGGATTCAAACAGAGTCCTATCTCAGTCAAAAAGAATCATGGACACAAAGTTCCAAACAACAAAGAAAGTCAAGTTAACAATTAAAGTTGAGCAGCTGTTTTCTGCTCAAACCATGATCAGAAGGAAAAAGCTCCTTAAGATCTGAAGATTCTTTTAGTTATACATTTGTATCTGACTTAAAATCCTCAGCTCAGTACTAAGGTATCAAGTTGTTTTTTGTTTTTTAGTTCTTTGCTTCTTTTTACAATTTGTTTTTCTTTAAACCAGATAGCCATATTATAGACAGACTACAGAATGCAAGTTCAATCCCTTTCCTAGTTTCCAGCACTATTTGCACCATTTGTCTTAAGAGGGTTCATAAGAACCAAAAATACTTGTGCTGTAGTCAATGCAATCACAAGATCCATATTGAATGTAATGATATCTCAACTCAACATTATGAAGCTCTCAAGGATGAAACCCTCTTTGTCAACTGGGCTTGCCTTTTCTGCACAGTAAAAAGTTATACAAAGATTTTCCCGTACATCTTTGTCTCTGACGAAGTTCTGCTTGGAACTAGGAATTTAGATCTACCATCAATAGTTGACTCAATTCCAAATTTAGAAATTCTTTCTAAAATCCAAAACCTTCCAAACCTATCTGATTATGACATTGATGAGAATTTTGAGCCTGACATTGATTCCAGCTATCATAACCTTGATAAACTGAAGGCTATTGAAATCTCATCAAAAGATCTCTCACTCTTTCATATGAATATCAGAAGTCTTCCACTTCATTTTGATGAACTATATACACTGCTAGGAAATACCAGCATTGACTTTCAGCTGATAGACCTGTCAGAAACCAAAATATCTGTAGATTCACCTCTCCTATCAAATACTGACATTCCTGGATACAAATTTCATCACACACCTTCTCTTTCTTCTGCTGGTGGTGTAGGTGTTTATGTAAAATCAGACCTTACAACAAATAAGCGGCTTGACCTTTGTGCTAAAACTCAGAACTTTGAGACTGTATGGATTGAAATAGAGAATGCTAAGTCAAAAAATATACTATGTTGCTGGGCATACCGCCATCCAAGCACTGATATCGCTCTTTTCAATGATCACATGCAAGAGGTTATGCTAAATATTGCAAATGAAAATAAGTTAACATTTATAATGGGTGATTTCAACATAAACCTGCTCAACTATGAGAATCATACCCTCATTGGTGACTTTGCAAATAACATGTTCTCTAATCAATTTTAGCCACTTATTCTACAACCAACAAGAGTAACTGACTCAACAGCAACATTAATAGACAACATATTTTCAAAAGGTTATAATAATAGGGTCACAAGTGGAAATATTCTGATCCAAATTTCAGACCACTTCGCCCAGTTCTCCATTCTTCAAAATTATGCACCTACTTACAATAACACCTCATACTTTATTTACGATTATAAAAACTATGACAATACAAAATTCCTAAATGACTACCAAAATATGAATTTTGACTATCTGGAAAAGGATAATCTCACTGTTGACAATAGTTTCGGAAAATTTTTAGATGATTTTAAACCAACTTGTTGATAGACACTGCCCTGAGAAGAAACTAAACAAAAATATTTAAAACTAAGACATAAACCCTGGATTAACACAAGAATTCAGCACATGATAAGAATAAGAGACAGGCTATTTCACCGATTCAAACAAAATAAGTCTTCTGAGGACTACTCCTACTATTAACAGTTTCGAAATTGAGTTGTAAATGAGATAAAATCTAGTAAAACAAGCTATTATCAAACTTACTTTGGAGAGAATAAAGCTAGCACTAAGCTGCTTTGGAAAGAAATTAAAAGTATCATCAAAACTAAGGCAACAAATAGTGATGCAGTCTCAATTTCTAGTCTTACTGATGAAGGTGGTGTCCAAATATCAAATCCTATAAACATAGCTAACAATTTAAATAAATATTTTCTTAAAGTTGCTGATAAAATAACAAAGAAAATCCCAAGAAATCCTAATTCCCCCCTTAAGTATTTGAACACTCCAAATAACAGTACCTTCTTTATTTCCCCAACAGCTCCTAGTGAGGTCTCTAAAATAATACACTCACTTAAAAATGGCAAGGCTTTTGGACCAAACAGTATACCAATAAAAATACTTAAAATTCCTGATCCCCATATTGCCTTACAGCTCTCTCTGATCATCAATCAATCATTCCAGAATGGTATCTTTCCAGAAAAATTAAAAATGGCTATGATTATTTCATTTCACAAATAAGGCAAATTATAGACCTATCTCTATTATCAGTTTTTAGCAAAATCTTTGAAAAACTAATGCATCAGCGACTTTATAATTTTTTGAAACTTCATGAGATTCTTTTTGAGTCGCAATTTGGCTTTTGTAGTGGCCACTCGACTGACCATGCATTGATAAGTTTAACTGAGAGAATAAAATGTACACTTGACTCTAATAAAACTGGATCTGGAATCTTCATAGACTTACAGAAAGCTTTCGATACTGTGAAAAATCTACTGCATCAAATTGGACATCAAATTCTACTGCAAAAACTGAATCATTGTGGTATAAGAGGCATTACTTTAAAGTGGTTTGAGTCTTACCTGACTGACAGATTGCAAATTGTCTCAGTAAATGGATATTTCTCTAATCCTGGAAAAATGACCTGTGGAGTTCCTCAAGGCTCTGTACTAGGACCTTTACTTTTTTGATTTATATAAATGACTTGCCGAATTTATCCAAAATTCTTTCTTTTTTTTAAAAGCAGATGATACAAATATATATTATGAATCTGATAACTTAAACAAACTGACTTATAGAATTAATAGAGTATAGTCATGGCTTGAAATAAACAAACTAGCGCTTAACATTAAGAAAACAAATTTTGTCATATTCTGTTCACCAAGAAAGAAATTCGTTGAAAACACAACTATAAAATTTGGTAAGAAGCCTGTCTCTAGATCTGGCTATGTTAAGTTCCTAGGCCTACTGATGGATAAACATCTTTCCTGAAAATATCATATTTCAGAACTAACTAAGAAACTTTCAAGAACATCTGGTATTCTCATTAAGATCCGACATTTCCTTCCCCTTGATATTTTAAAAAATCTTTACTATTCCATTTTCTCCTCATTTTTTTGCCATGGCTCCACAGCTTGGGGTCTTTCACATGAAACCTTTCTGGAACCTCTCTTCTTACTACAAAAAAAGCTATTGAGGTCTATCTCATTTCACCCCAATAGATCTTCCTTGACACCAATATTTGCCTCACTGTACCATACTCGCATATACGTACAACTGTGCATTAAATTATGCTTTGAAGTTATGATCAACAACATAAAGAAGCATCAAAAAACTATGAAAACGAATGTGAATTTCAATGGCATTTATTTGGGAATTCCATTCTCAGTCTTAATTTTCAGGTAGATGAGCATTCTGAAAAAAAACACTCATATTCCAACAAGACCAGAAAATAGTATGAATGAAGAATATTAATTATGATGAAAAAACAACTCTTACTCACTCGTGTCATTTCTAAGCTCCTTTCCAGAGATGGTCTTCCTCTCCTACGACTTCTTGGGGGTATCAATGCATTTGAAGATGCATCTGGCTGCATCTGCTATTTGAGAAATGAATAGGAGAAGTGGCATCTGTTCCTTTTTTGGCACACCAAAATGCTTGCAGTGTCTTCTGTACATTAGCCATCCATTAATAGGAGAAGTTGCAAGGATCCAGAAGAATATCTTCATGTACCGTCTTTGGCTCTTGTGATCTAAAGAGTACAATGCTCCAAACATGTCAAAACGATTAACTCTTCAAATATCTGCATTATATAGTTGAACAACAAGTGGTCTTGGGACATTGACAAATTGTCTTTCAGACTTGGAGATACGTCTGACATTATCAATGTTATGTTTCCTTAAAACACGGCCTAGCAAAATGAGACATGAAAAACAACGCCTCTGATTTTCAGAACACTCAACTTCGAAAAACAAATAAGAAACAATCAGCGTTTCAATGTTTGGCAGTTGGCTTATAAACAATTTCATAAGTATATGCAGACAATATGATCGACATCTTTGCAATCAACTTGCAATTATAGTTGGAATACCTTTCTTGGATCCAAAAATTGTTACAAGCGGCTTATGATCGGTAACTAACTGAAAGGTATGTCCCATAAAAATTGATGAAATTTCTTCACGCCAAACACTATGCTTAATCCTTCCCTCTCTATTTGCGAATAATTCTTCTATGCGGGTGTTAACGACTTTGACGCATAGGCTATAGGGCGTTCCTCTCCACTTGGCAAAACATGAAACAACACTGCACAAATTCCAGAACCACTTGCATCACAGGCAAGTCCTAAATGCAGGCTAGGTTCGAAATGCACTAGTACTGACTTAGACATCAGATCATCTTTTGAACCATTAAAAGCAACAGATCTTTCGGCAGTCCAGTTCCATGTGATACCTTTCTTCAACAGCTCATTCAAAGGAGCTGCACGAGCAGATAACTGAGGCAAGAATTTGGCAAAATAGACAACCATTGCTGAAAAACTCCTCAGCTCAGTGACATTTTTGGGCTCAGGAATTTCTTTATGGCTTCTATTTTCTTTGGAGATGGATGAATACCTTCACGTGAAATAATATGAT